AAGTTCTAGTTATTACTCAATTGTAACGCTTATTATAAGTATTTTCATTGACAGTAACATTCTTGTAGTCAAATTGACTCAAACAAGTTTTGCTGAGGTAATAAGAGAAGAACTAGAAATACCAAAATTTGTATTTTGCAAAGGGTTAGAGGAGAATCATTTTTGGGAGGAATGATTGTGGACAAGATTTCAACTCTGCAATATTTGATACCACCGTCAAATTAAATGTCACTAGCAGCCTTTTGGGGGGATTCCTCAACTGTTTTGCCTATAAGCATTAACAAAGAACCAACTTTTTTAGGCAAAATCCATTTTTCAGGATTAAGCAATCAGTTAGGTCTATTTAATGTAAAATCAGGTGAAAAAGTTAGGTTTTATTAGGGTATCTTTTAGGGTTAGGGTTAACCTATTGACGTCCAGTGCGCCCGTATCTTGCGCCCATGTGGACCCACACCCTTTCTACGCCTTGTGACAACATCACTTTTAACCCTGGAGCACGACTTTGAGCACGTACTTGAACAGGTTGAAAATATCTTACAAACGATACCAAAATGAACGCAATTGAGTGAAGGAGATTGGAGAAATAGCCAAAAAACCACATAAATGTGAAAGGAAAATCTGCATGAAAATCTTGTTCCATTACCCACCTACCTTTCTGAGCATGTGGTTTGAAAATAATGAGTAGTTTCCTAAAAAATCTCTACACCAAAATGAAGCCTACTAAGTTTCCAGCAAGTGAGGAGAAACTTCAGGCAAGGAGAGGGGAAAAAAAGGGTGAAAGGCCATCGAGTGTAAGAGCTGTCAATGGGTTTTTGGTAAGTTTGAGCTTTTAAAACCACAACTTACAGTGACCCGAAATCTGCTCGACTAACTTCAAAACACAGTTTTTCACAAAAGCTGCGGCCATTAATGGGTTAACAGAAACTCTTACAGGAAGCAAAAAGACGCCAGAAAATTGTCAGGGCCAAGAATATGTCAGGGTGACCTGGGCCTAGCAAGGACCAGACCACAAATAACTTAAGGTAGAGAAAGGCATTTGCTTGGCATTCTTTCTCACCTAATCACCAACAAAACAGAACAGTAGGCTTTGTGTAAATGTTGTCGCTCAATTTTATCCTTGGTTTAAATGTTATTTTCCATTGTTTCAACCCTATTATCATACATTACCACAACCAAAAACAATGGAAAATAAAATTTAAACCAAGGATAAAATTGAACCACAACATAAACATGTACCCTACCAGGGGGGTTGGGTGGATATATTTGCTTTAGAACTGCAGATGAAAGACATCAAATGTACTACAGATATCCTATCAAGCAAAGGCTTGCTGTAAAGACACAATTGAAACCTCTTTCGACAGCCGTGATGCTAATCCACTTTGATTCCACTCATTTTCCCACTCATTATCCAGAGTGACAGATATGGCATTGGCTTCCAGCACAGATGGTGCTACATCCTGGCGGCAAGATGGCTGGCTTGTAATGAGTGGCATTGAGTTACTGTAGTAAGCCTTTAAATCTGGAAAAGATTCATAGAAAGAGAAGAGATTGCCAGTTATTGAAACTTAATCCTTACACCCATAAGAGGGATACAAAAACAAGAAAGTGATGAGAAAAGACAGCTAGAGGATGTCATATCGATACAAAACCAAATTCTCTCAACTGATTATAAGGGATTGCATAGCACCTCAAAGGGAGAATCATTGATCTGATTGAGAGTTCATGATCAAGCAGCTACTTGCTTATTCTATTCATCCCTGTTTAGTCCTTCATCCATGTTAATGCTTAATTTTATTTTATTTTTTTAATTGCTTTGTTGTATGTCTAGCCAAGCAAACTGTTATTACTAACAATAGCAGCAATTTATTTTTGGAGGTTCCTATTTGCAATTCTCAAGGAATTGCTAAAATCAACTCAAAATATGATGAAGTCACTTGATGCTTTTTTTGAGCATCACTTATGAAGGCAGAGTTTGTTTATCTTCAGACTACTGGATCCAGAATAGGTGCCCCTACAAATAACAATTCACAATTATTAGTAATATTAACCTTTGGGAATTTTCTTGGTTAAATCTCCAAGACCCTCTGGTACTCTCAAAGGGCAAGCATGAAATCTCCGCACAGACCTGGCTCCCTATAAAATTAATATTGTGATAATAATATTAATACCAATTAATGAATTTCACTGAAAAGTTACAGAAGATTCTCCTCAAATTTTTTGAAGTAGACAAATGCTGCAAAGAAATACATGCTCTTAGTTATCAAAATTTCCAGTACATTTTTCTGTTTTATTGGCTGTTTCTCAAGTTCACATTAAAAGTTACTGTGAGAACCAAACTTGTAGCCATCACCATTTTCTAGCTGGTGGCTCCTGTTTGTAGCCCTGGTTACTTCCTACAAAAATTCTATTGAAAGTGTCAACTATGTAAAGGTCCTCATTAGGCAATGGAATAGCAGGAGAATAGTATAACATGACAAGAATATTTTCCCTGTTGAAATACAAAATTAATATAAACCATAGCAATGAAATTCAGGCAAACAATTCTCTGTCTACGAAGCCAAATGAACATAATATAACCAACCAAACTGCTAGTAAGTTAGCCATATCTAGATGGTTACTTTCACCTCAATTTGTCAAAAGGACTGATGAAAAATTGCAAAATTATTGAATCCTATCAAAAGAATTTCTACAGCAGCCATTTCCAAGGTTTAAGTGGAACTAAGTGCAAAATTTACCAGCAACAGGCCTGGATGTGTGAATTGATTCCAGTTCAAAGTGTGGGACATTTTAATAATTCACAATTTTCCATGGAATCTGACCAAACAACATAAATTAAATGTAGTACACCATAACCTGCCATTCTACTTTTCTTTAGATACAATGAATATATGAAGTTCATATATTTTGAACTGCGGTATTAGATACATATGATGCATGATCATACGATCATAGGATCATGCATCATACCTACTTTTCTTTACTTGCCATCTACTTTCAAACTTATTGACAGCTCTGGACTGTACCTCTTTGTGCCAAACTTGTGGCTTGGTTCCACTCCAACTGATGCTGTCCTTTTTGCAGAATGAAGGTGTCCAAGGCCTCTTAAGTCTCTTGGACAACTCTGCTGATATACGCCTCTGCAGCATCACAGATGAGCCTGAGAAAGAAGAGAAAGACAGGAAATCAGCAAACACTGGTAAACTATCAGGGAAAGTTGATAAAATGCTGGCAGGAGATTAATCCTGTTAAAGAGGGTAAGTTTCTGAAGAAACTATGGTGCTGCATTTGCAGGAGGAGTATTTTTTTCAAGTTGTGCTGTATTTTGAAGAGCCTGTATGGCGAGTCAAAATACGAATAATGAACAAAAATACTCAGTGATACGACACAACAATATAAGTAATAAGAGATTTATTATGCAACATGCCAATTGTTATTTCAGAGTGGGTGAATTTGGCAGATATTTCTTGAGTACAAATATCGTGTGATTTGTACTTGTCTTGCATGTTATTTGTACTCTACAAACCACAGTTGGATAATGACACAAGATACTTTGATTTATCACCTGAGTTGATAAAAATGTAAATTGGTCGCTGCAAAAATTTCTTATAAAGAACTGAATGATGTTTCCAGGATTAACCTATTGACGTCCAGTGCGCCCATATGCGCCCATGGGGACCCACACCCTTTCTACGCCTTGTGACATCATCACTTTTAACCCTGGAGCATGAATTTGAGCACGAACTTGAACAGGTTGAAAATATCTTACAAACGATACCAGAATGAGCGCAATTGAGTGAAGGAGATTGGAGAAATAGCCAAAAAACCATGTAACTTTGACCTGAAAATCTGCACGAAAATCTTGTTCCATTACCCACCTACCTTTCTGAGCATGTGGTTTGAAAATAATGAGTAGTTTCTGAAAAATCTCTACACCAAAATGAAGCCTACTAAATTTCCAGCAAGTGAGGAGAAACTTCAGGCAAGGAGAGGGGAAGAAAAGGGCAGGAGTAAGAGAGAAAAGTAAAAGTCGTAAGTGGGGCCTTACTTTTCAACCCAAAAACTATGTTGAAATTTTGCTTTCTGCATGTGCCCGAGATTTTCAGGCCGCCATTTTGCATTTGGATCGAAAGGCCGTCGAGTGTACGAGCTGTCAAGGGGTTTTTGGTAAGTTTGAGCTTTTAAAACCACAACATTGACCCAAAATCTGCTCGACTAGCTTCAAAACACAGTTTTCCACAAAAGCTGTGGCCATTAATGGGTTAATATTACCTGTAGTCCTTCAAGCATAGCCCTCTCTAAATGTCAGCTTTGGAAACTCTTTACAATGACTAATTTGTATTATCAACTCAGTTGATAAGACCAAATTATTACACAACTTGGGCAGTCAGAGGGCCAATAACTAAAATCAACCAATCAAAATGCTCTATTGCCAGTCAATATTCTCTCAGTATTGGACCGGGCACTGTCCCGAATGGTCCTGAATGATAACGCACTTGTGTCCCTTTGAACTTCAGTCGTATAATAAATCTCTTATGAATCAAGCTTGCTCAGGACTGGACTGGAAGAATATCAGCCCTCGGTCTTTTTTGTACGGACCTTGCTGCGCCCGGTCCGTACTGTCAAGACCTTGGACCAATATTCTCCCAGTACGGCCCTCGCGCTTCTTTAATAAGAAATATTTATCAGGTACATATACTGTCTCTTAGTCACCTAATGCAACTGAAAACATGATGAAGTCTGGCAAGATGGACCTTCTCTGCAGAATGACATACCTAAAGGTTCACCAGCTGACTCTGAACTCTCTTTTGGAAGATGCTCCACCAAAAACATAAACAATTTCCTGATATCAGCTTCATTGGAATACAGAAAGGTCTGATAACCAATCTCACCACCGTATCCAACTTCCTAAACAAATAAATTCAGGAATATACAATCAGAAAATTTGAGTTTGGGTAGCGCTGCAACAGTCTTCAAAGGAAATCAAAGAAAAATTGCGATGGTTGTTTCTCCTGATTCTTCAGTATTTGAGGTTATTCGTGACAAATTGTATACTAATAGGTTCTCTTCAGGCTATACATTGAAAGTAAAGTGCAAACAAAGGGAGCAAAACACAGAAAGATGCTTTCCAGATATATAGAACTTTGCTAAAATATAGAAAAAAAAACATTAAGTAGACCAGAAAAGGGAAAGCCTTAAAATTTGACATAAAGAGCTGGTTGGTTTACACACAGACCCTAAACCTGTGAAAACAAAAAACACACCTGACAGGCATTGGCAAGAGCTGTTCCAAGTCGAAACTTAGATGACATACTGGCAGGCAACACAGATGGAATCTGAAGATCTTCTTTGATCATATGAAGACATTTTGATGTTGCTGCTACAATCATGGCTGTGGTAAACTCCTTTAGACTTGAAACATCCTCAGACATGTCACTATTTAGAGAGAAGAATGCGCTTAAATCATGTAAGGGGCTACAAGTTGTATATATTACAAAATACTTCGGATTCTGCTTTACCATTGATCATCTCAACCTTGATGAAATGACCACAATGTCTGCCAATCACCCCTCCGATTGATATAATAACTATGAGAGCGATCTCAGTGTTTTCAGGGGGAGGGGCAGGACATCAACGTGGACACTGTTTGGGACTGATAAAACAGAAAAGTTTGCAGAGCTTGTTAATAGATACATGAACTTAATATCTATCTTATGACCTTTGTTATTCAGTACAGTGGTCTAATGATCTCTTTTGTCTATCTAAGGATGATAGGTAGCAAAGCAATTCGTAGAATCGGAGGGACACATACAGCCACACTGGAAATTATTACACTAAAGATCACACTGCAAGTTTCAAAACACGACAAGTTTAAATGAAGATTCAGGAAATTAAATTACTAAGTTTTCAAACTGTAAAGGGAAAACCTGAAAAACAAACAAAACTTTAACCTTACCAGCCGATTTGTCTGAGCGTGTGGATAATAATGTTATCTACCTCCTCCATCTTGGATCGCTGCTCTCCTTCGGGGACTTGGGTTCTAAAATATGATTTTGCTTCCTTCCCAGTCCATTAACTGCAAAATTTGGATTCCGCGGAACGCGCGCGTGTGAAAATATGTTGTTGTTAATTTGATTACGGTAACTACAAAAACAAGCTTCAGTTGTTGCGTAAAAGTGTTGGATGGCTGACCACAGATACTACTGAGATATTTCACACTGCGACCACTTTGCACTGAAATTGTAATCAAACGGTTAATGATTGTCACTACACTTTGTGCCCTGGGGCCCGTTTCTCGTTCCGTAAAGCTATTCTGTTTTAATTCAAGGTGGGGGTTTCAAAAGGTTTGAAAATTGTACAATTAGGACCAATTAGACTACCAGCTTAAGAAACAGAATGGACCAGTTGGGGTGCCAGAACCTGCTTCTATATTCTTCAAATAGGCCTTCGGGCTCGTAAGTGACTGGGACTTTCGAGAAACGGGTCCCTTGGGCTAAAACAGGTTCACTGCATGAGACCACACACAGGAAGAGGACGAAAAATTAACGAGGTCATGCTAAAGTTTTAAAAACGCATTTTACAGTGTGATCTCAATCTAACTAGGGTATTTCAGAGGGGATAACCGCTGATTTATCCTGGAGAGCCAGGCAAGGAGTGGTCCCGTAGGCCGCTGTTTTTATTTGCGAGTACCCAGAAATAAGCGAGACGACTTCCGTTCTGTTCACAGATACGCTTTCTGACCGGAAGAGTTACATCTGTATCCACTATACTTAATTATCGGCTGACTCATCACACGTTTTACTTTCTTTTAAGTGTTTTCTCATCCGTTCGGTGATAACTGTTAGCTTAGCTACTAATAATAATTATGTCACGGGAAACTTCTTGGTGGCGAGGATTTTGACAAAATAAGTGTGAACAATAAAAAAAAATTAACCGTCTCTTCGGAAATACTCCCATGTGCCTCTTCCCCTCCATTCGGTTTTTTTTCCCTTATGCATAATTGTATTTCCCACCGACTAACACCTGTCCCAGTGATCTGCCATCGCGTAACTAACCTGCGAAATAATTGAATTTTTCTGCCACTTTTGATCAAATGTCTGGTAAAGACAAATTATTTCATTGGACGTATCAAATTTGGTCGAATGACGTTCTGAGCGGAAATATTCGTCGTATCTATTTCTTGTAGATTTCTATTGTTGATTTTCCGTGACTTAGGAAGTCACGCGACATGGGTCAGTGACAACTAGACCGTAGACCTCTCACGGTTGTAGTACACTGTGCGCCGCTTGTGGTTTACAGAAAACCATGTTGTTTCGATGGCAGCAGTTCATCTCAATGCGAAACGTATTTGTTTACGTTTGACCGGGGAGAAGACATGATTTGGACCGCTGTTAGAAGGAACAGACTCCTTGTGTTAGTCATCATCGTTTTTTGTCCGCTGATGTATCATTTTCTTCTGGAGAGAGAACGTGAGTTATTAACGATTTTCTGGCTGTACGTGTATTGTTACTAACGTACAGTTTATACCTATTTTTTCGACGTGTCCTCGGCCTGTGCCCAAGCTAGCGATACGACCTGAGTTTATTGCACTATATAATGTGCAGAATTTCAGGATCAAATTTAATTTGAATTTTGCGTGTCCGCTATGCCTTTCTTGATATCATTCAGTAAGTCTCTCCCAAAACATACGCCATAGCTATGCTAAATTTGCGTGCCTAAACGGTTTATTCTCAATGCTGTTGTTAATTGTAGAACTCTTCCTCACCGAACACAGGTACCTATCGTTTTATCAAAATATTATTCATTTTTCGTACGATTTCTTGACGAATGACTGCGTACCAAGGGAACTCTTTACACCGGTAGTTGTTTTTCATGACCTCTCAGAGCTTATTATTCCGATTGTTGTTCGACTCGATTTTTTTCTTTAACAAAACGGTCTTGTTGGAAAAACTGGGCGAACATCTGGATTGTCGCCCCACCGCAACGCATTAATATTTCAAACCAAACATCAAACTCTAGCTCGTGTAGTCTAAAAAAGCGCCCGGTTAATCAATATTTTCATTTACAACTTGCACTTAAAGCACAATGCCATCTACACAATCACCTAACTCAATGGACAATGTTTCCTTTTTGGAATGGAGATATTTGAACTTTAAAGAGCTTGTCATTTCTGTACATCGTGATATTCATACACGTTTGTTTAAAAATAAAGCTTTGAAATACTTCGTTTTTCAAGACGAAAGTTCTATCGTTACTTAATTACTTTTGGGAACTACAGTGTAAACACTTTTTGTGTCCCCACATTAGTATGGGGTATCTCCCAAACAAGAAAGTTCTTTGACACGTTAATAAAGACTTAGTTTCTATCTATCTATCTATCTGTGGTTTTTGGAGGGGGAAGATTTCGAATTAATATCTTCAAAATTTAAGCCTTCTGGGAAACCACTAATTGGCTCACCTTCGATATGATTTGCTCCAGTTTCATTCAATTCATGAAATTAGCCAAGGAAGCTCGCCTGCTAAGGACAGATATTTCCTTAAACGTAATATACCTACTTACAGAAACACATTTTAAAATGATGAAAATTATTTATGGAAAATTGAGATGGCTTCCCTTACATTCATAACTTTTGACTCATAAAACATGTTTTAAACATACTTCTTAAAATAAGAAATTATTGTTTTTGAATTAATTATATGAAAGCTTTTTGAATTAATTATATAAAAGCTGTTTAAATTTAAGTGATTAAAAGCCTCTTTTATATAGCATTTGCTGATAAGAATAAATTTTCTTTGATTATAAATCTAGGCTTACATGGTGTTTCAGACTTCCCATGCTATCTACAGTCAGTGAATTACTTTTATCAGGAAAGAGATTTATGACCCTCTAACTTGAGAGCATTGCTTGGATACATGTAATGAATTACTCAATTTTTTGAATGTTGGTTGTACAGTTATGCAGAAAAATGTTTATTCACCTGTCCTCATGGATATGTGGTAAACTTAAATAAAATGTTTTTGCTATTTGATATAGCCTTAGCAACAGGTTAATGTTTTCTTAGAATGTCGTTAGTAATTATCATTTTATGAACAAATGATGGAGGGAAAATTCATGCAAGTGAAATATTTTCCCCTAAGGGAAGACTGGGGGTATTAACATTTGAGAACATTCTATACGATTTATATCTTCCACAGAAACTACTGGTAAAACTTGTGGTGTTTTAGATAAGTAAGAATTATGTAAAGCCTACAATGATAATATTTAAAAAGAGTAGGAGTTAAAAATTATTTATTAAACAGTTTTGGCATAAAATGTAAGGTAAAATGTGGAGAAAAAAACAGTCTACCTTATTCTGAAATACACCATTTGCTTGACAAGCCATGGAAATCAGAGATTAAGAATTCTTTGTCCTGTTTGTATGGACACGTGGCATTCTATATAGGAGTCAGACTGTAAATGAAAGGAGCTGATATTATGGTTGCAAATTGTAGAGCTTATGATTATATGATAACAAAATTTGGTACATAACAGATTATGGTGCTCTAACATAATTCTTGATAATTTGTTTCTGAATATTTATTGCATCATTTTAAAACATGTCCCTTTGTACACTTTTATAGCATTTGATTCTATTCTTATTTAGGATTTACATCAGTTATTCCTGCCAGTTTTAAAAACATTTTCCTGCATTAACTTCCAAAAAAATACTTGCAAATCAAACTTAACATGATTAACAACCCAGCTAACTGTAGACAATTGTAAGCTTATTAACCGTTTTCAAGCATGGCTGAGAAGTTGACATTTGGTTCTCTTCTAAATAAATCTTGCAAATCAAATGTAACATGATTAAAAATCCCAACTGATGGGAGGTGAGCTTAGTGCAAAGTGAAATAATTTGATTTGGTTTAATCAGCTGAGCTGATTAATATATGTAAATTGGCCACCATATTCAGAAAGTCAGTTTCAAATGTTGACATTTCAAGCAAAAGCCCTTCATCAGAGTATTTCAATCTAAGGTTGGGCTAATAAGCAGAGTGTCAGCTGTAGAAACTTCTTTTCAGTGGCCAATTTATATTATCATGTCATTTAATAAATTAAAACCAATTCATTTGGTTATACTCCCCCTGCTGAGGCAGTGCCACAATTTCTTTAGAAATAACCCCCTTTATTTGATATTAAGTAACGATTTCCAAGCAATTTTGGCTGACAAGTTGATTTTTGGTTCACTTCAAAATAATATGTACTTATTGACTGAATGGTAGGGCAGTTCAAGAAAATATTTGGCTAGAGGTCATAACATACAGACCAAGGGCAGTGAGGTCAGTGTGTCATGACGTACCCCAAGAGCCAAAACTTTTCCCCCAGCTCAGACAATAAGCATTGTATCATATGACCACTAAGTGTTGAACATTTTGAAAATTTTGTTTCAACGGTAAGAGAATGAGTTAGACTGGCACATGTTTTTTCAAGTTAGAAGAAGAAACTTAGAATTCACTGATAAACACTACTTTTTTCATTTTTTTTTTTTGTCTTTTACATTTTTGCAACAAAGTTGAGTGAGTGTAGGGCTGGATGGCTTTTTCCAAAAGGTCTCAGGTCAACCTGTCCAGCCTTACAAATGTCAGCCTTCATACTGGATTTTTTTGGGATTGTGTCCATACAGCTGCATGTTGCCATATGACGAATTAACACATAATAAGCTAAATATGATAAGTGTGGTCTCACTTGCTCTACTTTCTCTGTAATTAAGTGGATCTATACTTTTTCATAGGACATGGTGTATGCTCAGTATACAATTGTTGATTTTACAATTTCCATAACCTGTTTTAATATTTTCCCTTATTCTAGGCTTACCCCAAAGAGTAGAGACTAATGAAGTAGATGAAGAATTGATAAAAAAAATACATACTCTAAGAGAAAGATTACGTGATGCAGAATTTCAGAATTCAGCCAGATCTCAAGAACTTATTTCACTAAAGGAACAGCTTACTAAATTGGAGGCTGCAAGAAATAAAAGAACTCGTAACAACTCTATCACTCCTAGTAGCTTTGGGAATTCATCGAGGATATTTTTTGATGGTCAGAATGTGCTCCAGTTGCCAAGTATTTATAATTTTATGCCTCATCTGATGGATTCTCCCGGCAGCTTAAAGCCTGCTTTGCATGTATCAAAGGACCGGCAAGGAGGTATGTATGTTTTATTTTAATTTGTTTTCAAGAGCACCATGTGGTGGGGAGATACTGTGTTAGGTGATGTACTGTATGAGTTAATTTGGTTTTATCCACTGAGTTGATAGTGTAAACCATGACAGGATGGAAATTGCATGCACTGTAAGTACCTCCTGTTGTCCCACAGTAAGCCTTAGAAAAGTTTTCTAAGGCTTTGTATGGGACAACGAGAGGTACTTACAGTGCACGCGTTTTCCATCCTGTCATGGGCCACGTCTGTTATGGGTCAAAGGGTTTTTGGTGGCCAATTCACAGTATCAGCTCAACTGATGAAACAAAACTATCTTGTAACAGTAAGTCCCCAGGATGCTGTGCAGACAGTACAGTTTCTTATAAGAAACTTATCCCCTTTTCTGTATGTATCCTATATGTGGGGCTTACAAAATACCAAGTGTTGATTTAACGAGAAGTGTTCATTTAGCCCTTCTGCTGTAGGAAGTGATGTAGAATTTAGTTAATTCACTTCTTGTTTAAACATCAACTCATTATCCAGCAAACAATTAAGGGGGGTAGTTATGCTTGTCATTTATAGTAGAAGAGGGTGTTATCTTGTCTATAACTCCAGTTATCTTAACTAATTTATCAGAAAATTTAAGACAGTTACAAAGGAGAATAGCTCATTGGATCATGAGGGTATAAAAAGGGTCACATTAGGATTTCAAGTGGGCATCCACAGAGCTTGAAGGAAGCAACTGTGACAAATGATTGTAAAACTTGAGCAAGTAGAAGATAATTTAATGAAGTAGTGCTACCTGCTTTTGGTGACTTTCTATTACCTTGAATGTCTTGAAAGTTGCCTTGAGCCTCAACTGACTTTTAAGGATTGAGTTGCGAGGGGCTGTCAATGTACATTTGAGCATCAATGTATTAGTTTTTTGTTTCATATTACTTGTCTGATATACAATTTGTATACTTCATTATTTTCAGTGTCTCTAGTTTTTGGAATTCCTACGATAAAACGAGAGAGGACATCCTACCTATTGGATACTCTTGTTTCATTACTGGATGCAATGTCTCAAGAAGATAAAGATGACTGTGTTATAGTCATTTTTATTGGCGAGGTAAATAATTAAAGAAATGTTATGTTGTCAGCTGAAAATACATGTATCTCTCTACTAGACAATCATTGTTTAGAAATAAAAAAAATTATTTTCATCATAAAAAACAAAAGCATATCAAGGTTGAATATTAGCAATTTTTCAGCACTCACAATGTAATGTTTACTTGTCTTTGGATATTTTTGTTTTTATGATCCAAACTTCATCAATATTTGTTAAGCTCTGAAGGCCCAAAGAGATTTGATTTGAATTGTTACAGGTAAACACTACTTTTGATTACATCATTTTGTTGGATACAGATCCAGTGAAAGTTTATTATAGAGTGCATTCAGATAACTAACTTTTTTTTTTTGCAGACTGATATAGGATTTAGTAAAGATGTAGCTAATGGTGTCAAGCAAAGGTAATATTTGGTTTTTGACTGTCTGTTTTCATCACTGTGTTAGTGTTATAGTATTGAGTCCAGATGGATGAGATTCAACAAGATTCAATGCAGTATAAACACAACAACTTCTTTATTCCAGCCAGTAGTCTGTTCTACACGAGACACCAATGGGCATTAGTGCAGGTATAAAACTGCATGTAAACTAATATGACATCCCCTCTTCTAAAAGGAGCTCTGAGCTCACAAAAAAAAAAAAAGAAAGAAAAAAGTAAATAATAATGAAACAAAAATGCTATGGAACACGAATCGGACCTAAATATTAAACTAGTTTTCACTTCTTTTAAAATTAAAAACATGTTCGTGCAGTGTTAAAGATCGTACTCCTGATACTCTAAAATCCATGGTAGTTTATCAATTTTCTTGTGCAGGATGTAATTCCTGTTATATTGGCGAAACTAGTCGCCACTTCTCTGCTAGGATAAAGGAGCACACGGAAAGCGATAAAAACTCACATATTTTTAAGCATTTCAACACATCTCCTTCTTGTAAGAACAAATACTCCCTTTCTTGCTTTAGTATCTGGATTCTGCTAACAACTCAATTGATTTAAAACTCAAAGAAGCTTTTTATATAAATAAGATAAAACCTGAACTTACCAAACAATTACAGCATTATAACACTTTTCTAGCATTTTAGTTCACACCTTTGGTGTTTGGTGTCACATTGTAATTAGTACCCTCTTTTGTATTACATCATACTGTAAATATTTTATTCCTCTACTTGTCTGTTATATAATTACTCACGTTGTGTTACTCATTGATTGAAGATGGCTGCGTGATGATAAGCATGCCGAAACATGTCTCTCAAAAAAGTTGTCTATTTCTTACAATATTTATCATACTTGCTACTATTACGACCTTATAGAAGAAATGGTCAAATCCTGCGCTTCATGTCAGTATAATTAAAACATGAACTCAAAGGAGCCCTTCATGCCTCATGACATCCCATTCTTTACACAATATGTTGTACCCCAAAGAGTAGAG